ACCAACTGCCAATGCGCTGAGGGCTCTCAACGGTGTGGGAATATTTCAGACAGCAAAAGCAACAACAAGAGCAACAAAAACAAGCCTAAAACTTCTTGCCACCTCAGAGCTTTGATATTTCCTCTCGCTGCTGTAGTTCTCGGCCAAGTCAATATAATTGACTTATCTGCTGCATTGCTACGGTCTGAGCCAAAGACGCCAAGTTGCCGTCGCCGTCGCCGATCGCAGTTGTTGTTGCTGCTCTTTTGAAGAGGGCTCTTCGTGAAGAGGTCTTTTCGCTGCGGTTGGCAACCTAGCATAATAAAGCTCGCTGGCCTCGTGTATTTGACTTATTGCGGTCGGAACTGGACGTTACACAAAAAGAATTTCATTGATCGGGTCGAAAAAAAAAGAGAAGAAAGAAGAGAAACACGTGAAATATTGGGTCATAACTATTGATTGGGTTTGTCTGCGCCTTTGCGGTCAAATTGAAAGCAAAATATAGAGAAGCAAAAAAAAAAAACGGCAAATAAAAAATTATGTTTATGCAAAATACGCCCATCTGCATAGATTGCCGACTTCCTTCTGGGTGCCGCAGCCTCCGCCATAAAATAATTATCATTCATGCCGCAGTTAATTCTTTCATTTTTTTTGCTGCTCTTCAGTCCGCCTCAGTCTGCCTCTAATTGTCTATACCAAATTCAGTTATATGATACGCAATTTTCCACTCACAGCGACAAGTCAAGCCGCAAATGCAATTTGTTTGAACCCTAACCCAAAGTTAAGCTCTGCGGTGCTGCTTCTTCTTCTGCTTCGCTCTACGCACGTCTCAGGCATTCGTTCTGCTGGAAATTTTATATAGAAAATGCAATTTTCTTTTTATTATTGTTTACATTTTGCAAAATATATAATTTATTTGTGTGACCGCCAAGCGAATTTCGAGATGCACGTTAAAAATTTGCATGCGACGAGTTCGTGTGTGCAAAATATTTAAACAATTTTTATTACTAGACTTTTTAAGAAGTTATAAAATCTGGCGCGGCATAATTGATGGGAAAATTGATGAAATTTTCAAGTTTATTACAAACGTTGAATAAGTTTATTGCCTTGTTTATTTTTTTAAATAAAAGTGTGACTTTTTCGTCAATTTTTTAATCGTTTAAATGTATTCATGTTTAAAATAAAGACAACCTCTGATCAATTTTGCACAAGGATATATAGGAAGTGTATAATTATAATTATATAATAATACTGACAAATCTATAAATAAATAAGAATAATACTGTAAAAAACTAAAGTTCATTATAATAAGAATAAACTATTTTATTATATATACAGTAAAAATCAACTCTCATTGCCCCCTTTTTACGTCGTGTTCAAAGGCGTGGCAATATAATGTGATATATGATATATTAGAATTAAAAATTGCATATCGTAAGATTTTCTTTAGCATAGTTTGCATTCATTACATGCCCATGATGCCAGATGCATACATATTCATTTATTTATTTGTCTGAAGTTTCAATTTTATGTGCTGTTTGACAGACGGCCGTTTCGGTATTTCGCTTGGATATTCCAAGGGCTGGCCATATTTAATGCCAATAAATCTTTGTTTGCCTGTCTTTTGGTCTTGCTGTTTTCTTATTTTTTTTTTTTGGCCTGCACGCCTTCTGTGAGCCTTGTGGTCGCCTTTGAGGCTGGCGAAATAAAATTGAATCTTTATGAATGAAAATTCCGCTTAATGCATTCGTCTCGGCCGCTGCGTTGTCCACACATGTGAGCCGCATGTTCTCAATGCCCGGTTCTCGATTCCCATTTCTCACTTTGACTGGGTTACTCTTAAGATCGGCATTTAAAAAATGTGTCTCAGTTTGAAGCATGCAATATATTTATTTTGATTGAGTTTTGTTTGGTTTTCTAATGGAATTTCATAATATTTGCATTGGCAACTTCCGCTCTGGAAGCGCTTTAAATGCTAACGAAGGCCTCACACAGAGACGAACACCCCCAATTCGCATTGCCTTCCATTCTTTTATTTTTTTTTTTTGTAAATACATTTTCCGCTGCATTCCGCTGCTAATTGACGACAATTAAAATTTATTAGCTGGCAACAGCAATTAAACGCAAGACCCGCACGCAATTTGCAACGCTCCGAGCAAAAGAAGATTTTATAATTTCCAAACAAAAATGCATAAAAAACTTGAAGTTTGTAAATTGACTAACTTTTTATACTCTCCAATGGAAATTGATAAAAAAAAAGTTTGGTAAATTATTGTTAGTTTCCAAAGCAGGCAACCAGATCATAATTCGATTGGAAGAGAATCGGAGTTTAAAGCATTTAACTATAACTTTATTAATTGAGATGTGAAATACTTTTAATATTTCAAAGTGGATCGTAACATTCTTTAACTGGTTCCCGAACAAAACACTCTCTCCAAATGCCTGAGAATTATTTATATGAAATACTGAAATACTTTAAACATTTATAAATAGTGAAGAATTGCACCCAATCTGAAATTATCATTTTGAGAACGACTTAAAAATGGCTCGTTAGCAAGTTCTTTAACCGGTTCCTTGTTAAATGTTTAATAAATTAATTTATTTATAAAATAAACCATTATAAAGCTTAGCTTGAAGGTTTACAAACACGCTTAAAATTGAATGGATATAGTTTTTGTTTAGCTAAACAAGGCTACGGCTCCAGTTCAAGAACTTCCTCAAAATGGAGTGAAAATAAATAATATATAATTAGATAAACTATCTAAACACTATTCCTTAGTGTGCATTTACATGAAATATAGCTACAAATCTTTAAGCAAAAATATAAGCCATGCAAATAGATGGATTAGGTTTATTAACTAGAACTAAGCGAAGTGCTTTGTTAGGTATCTCAAGCTTCATACTAAACAATCTCTTGATTTGTTATTCAATGAACAAGCTTAGAATTGGTTCACCGAACGAGCTCAACAATGCTTCAGAGCTTAGGCTTAGCAAATATTTAAGCTTTGCTCTTAAAACTCATATTGTAATTAATTATTGTTTCCTTTGTGCATTTCAAACTACGCTCAGTTCGCACATTTTTGGTAGCATTTCTCTGCGGCTCTTTGTTTGCCCCGAATGGCGAGTGGAGGAGTACGCAGTGGGGAGTGTGGAGTGTGGAGCCCGGGCTGGCCAGGGCGCATCCACTCGACAATCAATCACACTTAAGTGGCTGCAGCAGCGGCAGCTTGAGATGGCAGCCGGCATTAGCAGCTAATCTGCATATTGTGTCAAATGGAAAATATGCAGCAGCAGCCGCAGTCCGACTCAGAGTTTATTTATTCGCCAAGTGGCACTTGCAACAAATTGCCAGCAGCTGCAGTTGCAGCTGAGGCAAATGAAAGCTGCGGGTCGCTAAAGTTTTGCCCCAAAGACAAAGGCAAAGACAAGAGCGTGGATGGGCACAAAATTAACACTGCGCTACATGAACGAAAGAAACTGCAAAAATCATAGCAAACAAATGAAAATCAATAGAAATCGCAACCCCAAGCAAAAATCATAGTGTGACCAGAGCCAAAGGCAAAGGCAAAGGCAAAGTCTCTGTGCCGGGTGATTGCCCTCTTTGCCGGCTCTGCGGTTGTATTAGAGGATATGCTGCCTATATAGAAATACACATACAAATACATATATTAGTATGTGTGTGTGTGTGTGTGTGCGTCTAGCCCAGCATCCTTTTGCCAGGCAGGCACAATTCACATGTGATATTTATGTGCGCTCGCGCGTCGCATCCTTTTTATTGTACTCTACAGCAGGGTGGCAATAACGTAGAGTACGAGAGAGGAAGAGAGAAAGAGGGGGCTGGGGTGTACGGCTGGTGACGACAAATGGCAACCTGAGTGCGACAATACTTGTGATAAATCTGTACAAAGAAATTAAAAAAATATATATATGAGTGGTTGCGACACATACACTCAAATTCAGGCACCACTCAGGTGCCCGCCCCCTCAGGCACCCCTCAGATGAAACAATGCAAAAAATAAACTGAACTCGGGTGCTATAAAAATGTAAAATTCATTCAGAACAGCCGCAACAACAACAAAGGGAGAAGAATAAAGAAGAAATGACAGCAACAGCGTGACTGCGCATAAATACGTGGCCAAATAACAAAGCTGTGAGAGAAAGGGAGCCAGCGAGAGAAAGCCAAAAGGAGAGAGAGTGAAAAAAAAGCTAGAGGAGTGCGGAAGAAGCTGCCGAAGAGCAGCAGCACTGCAGATAATCATTGGAATTGCCAGAGAGGACAGCGGAAAAATGTTAGTTCTTAGCGTGTGATAAGCCTGAGATAAATGTACTACATAAAACAAGTTGTGATTTACAAGAGAAAGAAGCATTAGAAAGAATAAGAACTTTTACTAGAAATGCAGCTAACACAAGCTTGGGACCTAAACAAAAAGTGGGAGTGCGCCAGTTGGGGGTTCCCGACAAGGGGTTACCCTGAACCTTTTTATACCAATACTAACTGAGAGATTCGATCAAAAAACAGAATATCGATATTCATTTTTATCGACTGCTTGGAAACGGGTAAGTCATGGATTATCGGAAACAAGCTAGTACTGCGCGAGTACATGAAGGACCTACATACGATCTCAAGCCTTATAGGTTCTGATATCGAAGTGCTCATGCGGACAGATAGACAGACAGATAGGCATGGCTAATTCGACTCGGCTGTTGATGCTGATCAAGAATATATGTATATATCTTACGGGCTCAAAGATGCTTTCTTCTGTATCATACATACCCTTGCACAATACCCTTCTATTCTTTTTACCCATTTGTAACGGGGACAACAAGCCAGAAATGTGTCAATATGAGATATATTATAATAAGTATTTCCTTGCCAATATAGTTTGGACTCTGCTGCAGTTCTTAAAGTATTTTTGTGCACCAAACCACTTGTAATAAATAATTTACACGATGCCCATAAAAATAATTAAAATTCTTAAATATTAACCATATAAATATTAGCCATATATTAAGCGGCTTACCCGAAAACAATCCGAATTGATGACAGCTCAGCAATTTCCTGGAATTAAATAAATGCAGCTTTATTTAACATTTTCCAACAGCTGTAAAACATTTATATATTTATTTAGGTAACATATTAATTCCCATTGGTGCATTTTGCTTGATGTGACATCGTTTATTTTTATATGTTGCTGCAATGCCAGCCAATTAATTGTTGCCGTATTGCCACAGGATTCGATTTTCAATTAAATTAGTGTTCGGGGCTTTTGGGGGCATTAAGAGTGCGGCATGTTGAGAGTGCAGCAGCAGTGCAGCAGGAAAAAAAATAAATAAAAACACCCTGCTAAATGGAATGCAAACAAAATGCTCTATAAAAATGCAAATATTTAACCTTGATGCTAGTTACAATGCGACCCGAATCGAATGCAACCCCCGCATGCCGCATGCCGCATGCCGCAGCCATATACACACACACACACACGTGAATGTGCTGTTGCACAAGTTGAATGGCCTTTTTAACTTGTGCATGGAAACAGTCGCCCCTTCGTTGCGTGGCAAATGCATTCGCATTCGTATTGATTCGAGGCGAGGCAAGTCTCTTTTTCAATTCGCAAACGCCTCCCATCTCTCACCCCTGCCGCATCGATAGAACGTTCTACTTTTGCTTGCTTTGTGCATTTTCTTTTTGTTTAAATTCAATTTTAGTGCATTGCACTTTTTGCGATGCGACGAGACGCGACGCGACGTCAACGACGGTTGCCACGCCGGAAGTGCGGCCTGCCAGCGGCGGAAGGTGGCAACGTGCAACGGGGGCAATGTGAAAGGGCGCCACAGACAGGCAGACAGACAGACAGACAAACAGGCAGACAGTTGCAGTCATAGCTGTTGCTCTTGTTGTTTTTGTTTTTGTTATTGTTATTGTTTGGGCACACTGCCAGCAGCTCTTCCAATTGGTTGCTGCACTTGGGATAGCCCCAAGTTCTCTATTATCTTTTTACCCTGCACTCATGAATAATGTCTAGAAAGGGTATTTTGTGTGTTACAGTGAGATGGCAACAGCCGATAAAGATCAGCATCTAAAGACTTCTCTTTGATAGTCTTTATGATCTCAGAGACTAGTTTAGAAAATTTGGTATGTGCTTATTGGTATACTTTAGTCAGAAGAAAATTATATCAGACAACATTTACGTTTCGCCTTTTGTAAAAAAAAAATCTATCGATGATACTATGCGGTGTTCTGTATAAGAGTTATATATATCAAAATGGGGAATATTTTGGGCTTTCGCTTAAAATGGCATCAGTTTTTCATAACACCGCTTGGACCGCTAATCGTATATTTGTTATAACCCACTATATTTACAGGGAATCTTTTAGTCGAGCTGTCATATGCATGCTTGTTTTGTTTTTTATTTTTGGGCACATTTCATGCTTGATTCAACAACACTCAACAACAAAGAGACTACGAAAACAAAACAAAGCAACAAACATTTCTCATTGGCAAAAATTTGTAATTTCTATAGCTTCTTCCGAAACCCTTCAAATCGATGCATGTAGTTTGCGGTTCCTTAAGCATTGCATGTAAAACGCAACACAAATACAACACACGAAAAATTACTTAATTCGATTGCTGAAACAATGTAATCAGCAATTGGCCAAGTTCTGTTGAAGCTCTCTTGGCCCTAATGGCACTCGAAGGAATTTGCCAGACACACGCAAAATGTTCGCCCGTTTTCTTTTGCATTGCCCATTGCGAGCTGTCTGCAAATTTAATTAAGGTGTTATTACCTCTAGTCAACACCTTGCAGGCGTTCGCGTCAGCCACTGTAACAGATGAAAAAAAGTTAATTTCCAGAAAACAGCTTCCAGGAAGGCAGTTAAGAGGCGGCACAAGACCAAAAAGGCGGCACAAGCTAAACGGAGGCGGAGCTCACGAGCTGCTGTTCCTTAGTTTTCATTCCAATTTAATTGCTCTGTTCGGATATGGTAGCTGAAGTCTCGTTTTGATCAAACAAATTGTGATTACAGCACACGCAAAAAGAACGCGAGCAATAAGTGAGATAGTGAGAGAGAGACTGAGACTGAGACTGGGAGAGAGAACACATTCAGTGCCTCGAGGGGCGTTAGTTAATGAGCTTATAATGAAAATCGGCTTGGTATGCAGGCAAATATATTCTCAAATTATAAATAATCTTATTAGTAATAAGCTTTGTTTTGGTTGTAATTACAAATATAATGCTGAATAGATTACACTGCTTAACTGGAAAATAATACAAGCTCGTTTCAATAAATATTTAATTTACTATTCTAAAGGCAGATTTATTTAATGTTAAAGAAATTCCCCCTTTGTTATAGCTCACTTATTGGGCAATAAGCAACATATAAATATATTATTGAAAAATAATAATCAGCATATGAAAAGCATTTGCCTTTCGATTGCCTAACAAAACTAACTAATCTTAGTTTATTGCATTAACGATAAAATGTACTACTAGAAAACTTTGCTTTCATTAAATTCATTCGATATTGTTGCAAATTTAAGCCCAATAAAAAAGCTTTCTTTAAAAATTGATTGAAGAACTCCCTCGCTGCTTACAGTAGTTCTTCATATGTTTGTATTAAATGTTTATCACATCTTATTTATAAATCTCTTCACACCCAATAAACTAACCTGACAGCTGTAGTATGACACTTGGTTATGCTTTTAATAATAACCACTTCTTAAAATCCGTCTTAGCACCAAATTTATTTTTGTGTCGAACTTCTGTTAACAATTTCTTCATTGCGAGCACTTCATATTCAAATCTGCGGCTAAATCGTTGAGTTATGAATAGGCTGGCTCTACTATATCAGCATTATGAGGTGTAAACGAGCACAAACAAGACAGGTAGTTCAGGTAGGCGCTTACCTTAGGCTGTCATTATCAACAGTCAAGCGAGGCTCTTGAGGGCCAATCTTAAGCGGCTTACGGCTCGTCGGGCTCAGTTATCATTATCGCTGAATTCCCAATTAGTTGGATTCACTCCTCGAGCCGAGTCAAACCGAACTGAGCTGAGCTGCATATGCGGGCAGTGGGCGTGTCACCAAATGTTGTTAACACATCATTTGTAGGCTACCTGGCACCGACGACTCGAGGAGCCGACAAACGAGTCAAAAGTATCGCGTTACCTGTGCGTGCCGCAAGATGAGGCAGCAAGTAGGACGGACTCTTGGGCTGTCTGTGCTACTGTGTTTACCCTTTCGACGGGAATTTCTTTCCTTTTTTTTTCAGCTGGGGCCCTTCGCACATGATATGCAAATATTTGCGGCTACATTGTCCGGCCAGGCCTTTTCGGGCTGAGGCAGAAAAGTGCGTAATGACTTTATTTATGAATACGATTCCTGGCCAGAGACAATAGCTCCCGAGGCGTAATTCAGCCAATATTTGCATGACAGCATAAAGGAGGCCCGCTGGCAGACCTCTTGGCCTATTTACATTTATTTTATTTTTTTACATTTATTTATTTATTTATTAATGGTCGACAAAACGAGTGTCTTCCTCATTATTCAATAGAATATACAATAGAATTTTATGCTAAAAGCCTAGTTAAAGGATACAATTTTCTAAATAGCATCACCGACCGATGGAGGTGTTTTATTTGCCAGTCCGGCCAGCTGTGCCCCTTTTCACAGCTAATTTTGTCAGTGACGCTATTAGAGCCTACATCTAAGCAGAAGGTTGTAAGTAGGAAAAAAGTGTTTTCAAGTAGCATTAAAATAATCTTAATTTGCTATATTAATAAAGAAAATACAATAAATAGGAAAAAGTTTAAGTTTAAGTCTCCAGTGTATATTTTCTCATTTTTATTTAATATATGTACATTTTTTTTGTTTTTGCAAGTGTTGACAGGCCTTGCAGCCAATAAATAAGCGCTGCATTAACGAGTTTTCTCTGAATTTTACAGATTAAAAATATGTCGGCTCGTATATCATCTTGGAATTTAAATAGTTAAGCAACAGCTCAATTAATCATTGTCTGTTCAATTTCTCAAAAAAAGGGCGACGCTTGACATTTTCGCTGCACAGACCACAATTGGGCAAGTTGAATACAGGCAGCGAGAGGAGCTGTGTGCACGTTCCTGTTTTCCTGTGTCCAATTCATGTTTGATGAAGCACCTCGGGGCGGAAATAATAGGCGACCCTCAGTCGCAGTTCCCCTCGTGCAGGCCCAGTTTTAGTCACCCCTAGCTCAAATAGGCGCCGCTCCCGAATAGAGGCCCTCGGCTCAATCTAAATATTCCCCGCCGCTGACTGCTTTCTATTTATTTTCAAATGTCCGCTGTGGTCGACTACCTGTGTGTGCGTGTGTGCGTGTGTCTGGTCTGTGTGTGTGTGTGTTGTGCTTTGGGATTTGTGAGCAGATTTGCGCGTGTTTTTGCCCGCCCCTGTAGGGGCTTACACTCACGTATTGTGCGTCTGCTTGTGAGTGCCACGCGCTACAGAAAACAACAAAATAGAAATCCTTCCTTTTGACAGGAACTCGTATGCGCGTCGTCGCCTTTGATAAAGTGCTCTTGAATATTTTATGGCAACCAGAACAGACACTCTGTGTGTTTGTGTGTGTGTGTGTGTGCTCTATTGTATGCTTTAAATTGCCTGCTAAATGCTTAGTTTCAATTTACATAATATATTCTCGCAGGGGTTGCGCCCGCAGTTTCTGCTAAAACATAAAAAAATAGATTGAATTTTGTATAATTTAATAATCATTTATTTTTTTCTTTTCTGTTAATGGCTTTCACGGAAAAGGATATGCACGTTGGGGCATGCAGTTTGTTGAACTCTGTCTAGCTCAAAGTCTTTCTTGTCTTGTTGTCTTTCTTTTCTTTTTTTTTTAACTATTTAAGAGTTGGGCCTCGAATGCGCCTCAAATTTATGATGCGTACTCAAATATTAGTTTGCTTTTATAATATTTCTTCCTTGTGCTTTTTTTTGTGCAGCACCATTTAGTTTTTTTTGGTATATGTTTTTAAAAAATGTGAAGCAGCTTAGTTATATTTATGTCGCTTATTTGGAATTTCTTAC